CTGCGAGTCAGTGGATCTGTGGGTCGGTGGTTCTGCAGGTCGGTGGTTCTGCGGGTCTGTGGTTCTGCTGGTCGGTGGTTCTGCTGGTTGGGGGTTCTGCGGGTCGGTGGTTCTGCTGGTTGGTGGTTCTTCGAGTCAGTGGTTCTGCGGGTCAGTGGTTCTGCGGGTCAGTGGATCTGCGGGTTGGTGGTTCTGCGGGTCTGTGGTTCTTCGAGTCGGTGGTTCTTCGGGTCGGTGGTTCTGCTGAAGAATCTGAGAGTTTTGAATGTTGCGCAACACTAAAGATCGGCAGTAAATTCTGAACTGCCTCGATTGCATCTAATGTGCATCATTTGCTTTTCATTTGGTTGTTCTGGCTGTTTGTCAGTGAGTGAAAAAGAGATTTTAAAAAGAGTCCTAAATCTCTTGATTCAGCGGGACTTTAACAGAACCTGAAGGCATTGTGACGCTATCTTAAGCCCGAAACACACCAAGCAGACGGCCGGCCGACGGGCAGTTTTTGTCTTCTCGGTGTGTTCTTCACGGTTTCGTGCCGTCGGCTAAAAAAAGTTAGTTCAGGCAAGAATTCTGATACTGGTGTTCCCATCATGCACTGGGCTTTGAATAATGAACCAGGTTGATTTACACTGCATTTACACTGTTTTATCATTGCTTTTGTTGTTAGGATTAGTAACTTGCCATTTTGTGACATTTGGAGGTAATTGTCTACTCAAAATTACATTCAAACACAAATTTTAGAAATGTAAATTTAGAAACTCAGTCTTAAGTCACGATCCGTTTGGACAGTGTAACTCATGCCAGTTTTGCAGTGTGTGTGTGTGTGTGTGTCAGGTTTGCCGGATCAGCCGGTTCCTCCAGCGTCTGAACGTGTGTTCTGCATGCGTGGGCTGATGTTTGAATGGTGGAGATTTGAACATCAATTTAACAGGCAAATAAGAGACGCTGCATGTGTGACGCACAGCAGTGGCAGAGCTTCAGAGTCGCTCTCGCTCTGCATTTGTTTGCTCTGGGCTTTCTGTGACCGTGCAGAAGATGTCAGTCATGTAATCCTTCGCTAAATAGACCAGGGAAATCAAGTCCGTGCAGAGAAGCCACTCCGTCTGGGCTTTCTACATTTTTAAACGGACAAATTCCCTCATTTGCATAACAATAACTTTAAAATAAATGATATCATAGAACCAAATAACAATTGTATTGTTTCTGTATATATAGGCAGTGGTTAAAGTGGGATTTGGCAGGTGGGGAGCAATACTTTTTGGGACAAGAGTGTCACTGCAGCATCAAGTATCACAATACTTATTTACTTGATATTTTAATGGGTTTTATTTTGGTGCATTAACACTGATATGATGATGATGACTATGTTAAAATATCTGAACACTGGGGAAAAAATTGAGCCCTGGCACTGTAGCCACATTACCCCCCACAGACATGTGCATTTAAAGGAGTAGTTCACTTTTTGCTGATAATTTACTCGCCCCCATGTCATCCAAGATGTCCATGTCGTTCTTTTTTCAGTTGAAAAGAAATTAAGGTTTTTGATGAAAACATTCCAGGATTTTCTCCATATAATGGACTTCAATGGGGTCCAAACAGTTTCAGTGCAAACTGTTCAAAGGGCTTTAAACGCTCTAAGTTTTAAGTATAAGTTTTATAAGCTCAAATGGTCACCTTGCTCTGTTCTGTGATGCGCGTTCTTGACTCGATTCAAAAGAAATAATTGTTTTTATCGATTCAAAAGAAATACATCGATACAAAACAACTACATGTTGTTTCGATTCAAGAGAATCAAATGTTTCTGTCGATTCAAAAGAATCAAATATTTCTGATGAATCAAAAGAACTTCTTTCTTCTTTTCTTTGAATTATAGTTTGTAATGTTGTTATTCACTTCTGAACTGGCTTCTTTTTCTTATCTTTTTTGCAATAGTTGGCAATGCAAAAGAATTCATCGCAACAATATCTAAATAACATATATATATATATATATGTGTTATTTAGTGTGAATTCCTTGAATTCCTGTAATAGAGATCTCATTCATTGGCTGAAAGGTGTTTTCAGAAGTGGAAGATTGTGTATTGATTCTGAATTATAGTAGATTATCTTCTGGTTAATAAAACAACAACAAAAACAGAAGACAAAAAAAAAACTAACTTTATTTGGACATTAACTTTATTCTAGAGCTGCTGTAAAGCCAAAACAATCTGTGGAATCAAATATTTCTGATGAATCAAAAGAACTTCTTTCGTTCTTCTTTTCTTTGAATTATAGTTTGTAATGTTGTTATTCACTTCTGAACTGGCTTCTTTTTCTTTTCTTTTTTGCAATAGTTGGCAATGCAAAAGAATTCATCGCAACAATATCTAAATAACATATACATACATATATATATATATATATATATATATATATATATATATATGTATGTTATTTAGTGTGAATTCCTGTAATAGAGATCTCATTCATTGGCTGAAAGGTGTTTTCAGAAGTGGAAGCAGACAACAAAACAAAAACAAACAACAACAAAAACAGAAGACAAAAAAACTTTATCTGGACAATAACTTTATTCTAGAGCTGCTGTAAAGCCAAAACAATCTGTGGTGCTGTAATCTCCTGTTATCGCTGCTGTGAAACAGTGTTAAAAGCGCTGTGTAAATGAAGGGGACTCGTGCTTGTGTGTTGTGTCTGAATACGTTTGTGTGGTGAAATCAACAGTCGCCTCACCAGAAATAACCGACGGCTCGGCGACGGACAGCTGGCCACAAATGGATCACGTTTCAAGACTAGTTATACAAATCTGGGGCTTGTCTTGTTTTTCTATATGGAAATTAGCACAGCCTCATTTGGCTGATCAATTGTGTTTAGCTCATTTGATTATTTGGGTTGGGTTGGTGTAATCTCGTGGTCAAATTAGATTCATTTGGGAAATCAGATTGGTCTGGCTGGCTGTCGCTTGTAAACACAGATGGGGTGTAGAGGACAGTTCTGTTATCCGACTGAACTCTGGGACTGCAGTATTGCATGAATGAGCTAATGACGGCTGCTCTCTCTCTCTCTGTGTGTGTGTGTGTGTGTGTGTGTGTGCTGCTGAAAATAAGTGTGGAGTTAAACACGCTGTCTAAATCTGTTCGTCATATTTTGGCAGCTTGTCAGAAATCGGGCTGCGTTCCAACACCGACACCCACTTCCTACACACTTAAATGTAGATGTCAAGTCATGCACGTGTGTGTGTGTGTGTGTGTTTGTGTGTTTGTGTGTCGGGACGGGATTATTCAGTGTTTTATTGTTGTTCAGTTTGAAATTGACGCCATCATTAATATTTATACTAAAGCAGAACTCACCGTTATGAAGGGATGAGAACTTGAATGAGTGAGTGAGAGAGTGAGTGAGTGAGAGAGTGAACGAGTGAGAGAGTGAGTGAGTGAACGAGAGAGTGAGTGAATGAGTGAGTGAGTGAGTGAGTGAGAGAGTGAACGAGTGAGAGAGTGAGTGAATGAGTGAGAGAGTGAATGAGTGAGTGAATGAGTGAGAGAGTGAGTCAGTGAGTGAGCGAGTGAGTGAGTGAGTGAACGAGTGAGAGAGTGAGTGAGAGAGTGAGTGAATGAGTGAGAGAGTGGGTCAGTGAGTGAGCGAGTGAGTGAGTGAGTGAGTGAGTGAGAGAGTGAACGAGTGAGAGAGTGAGTGAGAGAGTGAGTCAGTGAGTGAGCGAGTGAGCGAGTGAGTCAGTGAGTGAGCGAGTGAGTGAGTGTGTGTGTGAGTGAGTGAGTGAGTGATTGAATGAGTGAGAGAGTGAGTAAGTGAGTGAGCGAGTGAGTGTGTGTGTGAGTGAGTGAGTGAGTGAGTGAGTGAGTGTGTGTGTGAGTGAGTGAGTGAGCGAGTGAGTGAGTGAGTGAGCGAGTGAGTGAGTGAGTGAGCGAGTGAGTGTGTGTGTGAGTGAGTGAGTGAGCGAGTCAGTGAGTGAGTGAGTGAGCGAGTGAGTGTGTGTGTGAGTGAGTGAGCGAGTGAGCGAGTGAGTGTGTGTGTGAGTGAGTGATTGAATGAGTGAGAGAGTAAGTGAGTGAGCGAGTGAGTGAGCGAGTGAGTGAGTGAGTGAGTGTGTGTGTGAGTGAGTGAGTGAGTGAGTGAGTGAGCGAGTGAGTGAGTGAGTGAGCGAGTGAGTGTGTGTGTGAGTGAGTGAGTGAGCGAGTCAGTGAGTGAGTGAGTGAGCGAGTGAGTGTGTGTGTGAGTGAGTGAGCGAGTGAGCGAGTGAGTGTGTGTGTGAGTGAGTGATTGAATGAGTGAGAGAGTGAGTAAGTGAGTGAGCGAGTGAGTGAGCGAGTGAGTGAGCGAGTGAGTGAGTGAGTGAGTGAGTGAGCGAGTGAGCGAGTGAGCGAGTGAGTGAGTGAGTGAGCGAGTGAGTGTGTGTGTGAGTGAGTGAGTGAGTGAGTGAGCGAGTGAGTGAGTGAGTGAGCGAGTGAGCGAGTGAGTGAGCGAGTGAGTGTGTGTGTGAGTGAGCGAGTGAGTGAGCGAGTGAGTGAGCGAGTGAGTGAGTGAGTGAGTGTGTGAGTGAGTGAGTGAGCGAGTGAGTGTGTGTGTGAGTGAGTGAGTGAGTGAGTGTGTGTGACTGTGAAACATCCAGAACCAGACCAGTTTTTTATCCGCATGCCCAAACTCATTTTTGTTCAGAAAATAGATTGGGCAAAACCGCCTAATCTGCAGGATTGTTGGATATGGTTCTGTTCGATTACGTCGAGTGTATTCCAGCATCACACTAATTATCGCGATTAATCGTTAAACAGCCCTAATTTTCTGTGCATTCAAAGCAGTGTGTGTGTGTGTGTGTATAAATGAGAATGTGTATGAGAGTGTGTGCGTGTGTGTGTGCGTGTGTGTGTGTGTGTGTGTATTGGAGGTCAGAGGATGTGAGGGGAGGACGAATGTTAAAGGAGAAAGACCCAATTTATTTATTATTTCCTGTGAATTGACGTGTGTGTGTGTGTGTGTGTGTGTGTGTGTGTGCAGAACGGCGGGGTGTCCTGGCCGGATGATGCGGATGGCGCTCGTGGGAGAGGAGAAGCATCCAGAGATTTCGCCAAGGTTAGTTTATTCATGATTAACTGCAATATGTGTGTGTGTGTGTGTGTGTGTGTGTGTTTGAATTGGCCAATTTTAATAGTAAAACTTGACAACAAGGTCTTTTTAGTGAACATTAGTTTATGCATAAACTCACGACAACAAAGAATGAACAAAACATTTGATAACGTTGGTAAAAAAAGAAAACCATAAGAAAATTAATATTAACTTAAATTTTATATATATATATATATATATATATATATAAACTTATTTGATTTCAGCTTGTTGCCAAAGAAAAAATTCTCCTTTTCAGTTAGTTTAACTTGATATCTTGAACTTAAACTAAACTAAAAACGAATAAATCTACAGTATATAGACGTATTATTACAGACGACTAAAATGCAAAATCAACAAAATTACAAAACAACAACTATTGATAAAAACTATACTATCTCAATGACACTGAAATAACACTGGCTGAAATTAATATCAAGCGATTAATAAATGCTTTACAGGTATTTTTGATTGTTGATTCACATTGACTAGTGTAGTAGGAACTGTCATTTAATTAATAATGTAATAAATGAATCCATGAAGATTATGTGAATGAAGATTAACACTGAAGTGTGTGTGTGTGTGATAGTTATATGAGCTGGATAACGACCCGAACAGGAAGGAGTTCCTCGATGACCTTTTCACCTTCATGCAGAAACGAGGTGAGCGAGTTTGATGATTAATCTCAGTGTGATATTGCAGGATCCGCTCTGAGTGTGTGTGTGTGTGTGTATGTGAGTGTGTGTGATAGACTGTGTGTGTTCTGGAGCATGTGCACACATGCATGTCTCAAGAGTGTGTGTGTGTGTGTGTGTGTGTGTGTATGAGAGAGAGAGAGAGAGACTGTGTGTGTTCTGGAGCATGTGCACACATGCATGTCTCAAGAACGTGTGTGTGTGTGTGTGTGTTTTGTTAGTGTAAAGCCTGTGTGATTGATGCTTCATGTCGACTGAACCCTGAAGATCTGGACGTGTGTTTACGTGTGTGAGTGTGTGTTGGGCCGTGGGGTTTGACCTGCTGCCGGTTCACACACACATTTAAACACACAATCACACAGACAGCAGTGCTTCATATCAACAAGTTGAAGAACCACACTTGTTTACTGTGTAGTACAGCTGAGACAGAGAACACACACACACACACACACACACACATATACTTTAAAACACTTCAATTGCATGCAAGATAATAAAAATAAATGATTAGTTCATGCATTCCTTGGGAACTGAACCCCATGACCTTGGCTTTGCTACAATATATTTAATATAATAGCAATATATATATATATAGTGATGTGAATAAGTTTTGGCACCCATGCTAAAGTTGCCTAAAAAGAGGAATAAAAAAATCATCTTTTGGATATTGATCTTAATGCCTTAATTAGAAAAATGAGGAAAACTCCAACCTTTAAGGACACCAATTTTCTTTGTGAATGAATAATGTGTCATAAATAAATAAATGTTTTTATTTAAAATACAGGGTGCATAAGTCACGGCACCCCTATGTTAAATTCCCATAGAGTCAGGCAGATTTTTATTTTTAAAAGCCAGTTATTTCATGGATGGATAATTTTCATCATAAAATTTCATCCAGGATAATTTGGATAATTTGGCCTTTGGGATTAAAATATCCCCACATCATCATCACACACCTTCCACCACACCTAGAGATTGGCATGGGGTACTTTCCATAAGATCATCTTTCAATGCAAATCAAACCAGCTATTAGGCTAACTGAAGTAAAACCATGCCAATCTCTCGGTGTGGTGGAAGGTGTGTGTGATGATGTGGGGATATTTTATTTATCAGGATGCATATTATCCTGGATCCATGAAATAACTGGCTTTTAAAAATAAAAATCTGCCTGACTCTATGGGAATTTAACATAGGGGTGCCCTGACTTATGCACCCTGTATTTTAAGGAAAAACATTTATTTATTTATGATACATTATTCATTCACAAAGAAAATGTGTGTCCTTAAAGGTTGGAGTTTTCCTCATTTTTCTAATTAAGGCATTAAGATCAATATCCAAAAGATGATTTTTTATTCCTCTTTTTAGGCAACTTTAGCATGGGTGTCCAAACTTATTCACACCACTGTACACTAACATTTAAAACATTTAACATTTGTTGTCATTGTGATTTTTTTGATAACAGTAAAGACATTTATGATGTTACGAAAGATTATATTTCAATTCAAATAAATGATGTTCCTTTGAATTCCTCATATAAGAATCCTGACAACAAACATATGAACTGTGTTCAACACTGATAATAATCATAACTTCCCATTGAGATTCAGAATCTCTTTTACAAGAGAGACCTGGCCAAGGGAGCAGCCAAAACACAACACATACATACATAATAAACACCATATTATACATAATAAAAGTTACATTTTCATGATAAAAGAAGTTAAGAACACAATTAAGTTAAGTTAAGAACATAATGATACTCAAGAAAAACAAGAACATGTCTCCATCACAACACTCTTTACAGTAGTTTTAAATTCATTAATGGACATAAGGGTTTCTAACTTTAGCTCTTTTTGTAGATTATTCCACCCCCAAGGTGCTAAATAAGAGAAAGCAGTTCTTCCCAATTCGGTTGCAACTCGTGGCACGTTAAAAAGCAAACCACTTCGAGGAGCGTAGCTGATAGCTGATAGCTGATCCTGGTGATCAAGACACAGTTATGATGATTATTATCAGTGTTGAACACAGTTCATATGTTTGTTGTCAGGATTCTTATGTATCCTCATATTAGAGTGGTTTCTGAAGGGTCATGTGACACTCAAGACTGGAATAATGATGATAAATTCAGGAATAAATTACACTTTACTGTATATTTACATTGAAAACCGTTCTTTTAAATGGTAATAATATTTTATTATTTTCACTGTATTTCTGATGTAATAAATGCCGCCTGGAGAGTCCAAAACATTGATTTCAGCCTTGTGTCTGTCAGACGTCTTGATTTCTGTGTCCGCTGGACGATCTGTCGCTCCTGACGAGTGCAGTGGTGTTTAAGTCCGCTAGATATGATCAGTGCAGATATGGAGAGTTACAGGGAGTCTGCGGATCGCTGCGGCGTCTCGTGACTCTCAGACTCTGGGTAAGGAAAACCGCAGAATCTCACTTCTGTGTCGACTGCTTTAATACAGGGAAGTGTGTATGTGTGAGAGAGAGAGAGAGTGTGTGTGTGTGTGTGTGTGTGTGGTTTTCCGCAGCTGTGTAACGGAGCGTCAGGGTTTGAGGCCCATGTTCTCAGTGGTTTGAGCTTCTGATTGTTTGAGTGTCTCACACACACACACTCATTATTTCTGTGTAACTCTGCACTCAGTTTATTTCACACAGTGGTGGAAGAACTACACACATCGATACACTAATAATTTTATACTTTGGAAGGTAGTAAAGTAAAAGCGTCCCCAAATAAAAGCGCCCTGATAAAGATCCGGATCCGAGTGATCGGTTCCCGAGCGTCATGTTGAGATGTTAAGGAGGTCACACAGATGTTTTCAACACAACACCAGCTCCGGTTGTGGTGCGATGTGTGTGTCACAGGTGCAGATCTTCATCAGAGCGCTCCATTTAATGGAAATTCATCTGTTTTCTAAATGTATGATATAGATCTTATTATTGTCAACAATTCGTCTCTGCATGTTTCATTTAAAAAATATATTTTGACCTCGTTGATGTTCAATCAAAATGTCAAAAATGGATCTTCCAGAAGTGCAGGATTCTCCAATAGTCTAGTGCTCTTAAACCCCTTACCCCGCCCCTTCTAGAGAGAGCCACGCCCACATCTCAACATCCAATCAACAGCCATGCACAGAACCAAGTCCCGTTTTTAAAGCTGCACTGTGTGATTTTTACCCCCATCTAGAGGTGAAAAGGTATATGACCATCCAGTGAATATTAGTTTCTGTTCCTCTCAATTCTGATTTCGTTTTAACTCCTACGGTGGCCAATGTAGTCCAAGATTAACATGGCTTCCAGGTCGACCTCGTCCATTAGTGTTAACTCAAACGTAAACGCAAAAGGCGAAGCTTGAATTAACGGGTATGTCCCTCTTTGGCTAATGTACTTTCAATGGCGACCGACATTAGAATTGTACCCGTATGTATTTTCAATGGCATATTATACACTCACGAGAATACTTTATTGCAAGTAAATATACATTAATGAGCACATATATTTTTGAAAGAACTAAGTGTTTTTAGCTAAGAATAAACTACAACAGTGTTACACAGTGTAGCTTTAACAAAAACAAAACTAAACTCATTATAAAAATGAAACAGGTTCGATTTCTGCTCTCAAAAAATCATTGTTTATTATTGACTATTTGTTTTTTTTTAATTTAAATAATTATATTTATATAATGCATTTATTTAATTGGCTAAGAATGAGCATACATATTTAATATACAATTAGTTAAAATGTATGAAATTGAATTTAATTGGTGATAAATGTATAAATCTAGTTATTTTGTATTTCATACACGTGTGACTGACAAATATGCATCGCATTAAGTTTATTAGATGTTAAAACTGTAAATATTATATGCATTTCAAAATATAAATATTTAATATACAACAGCAGTGTAAATGGGAAGTGGCCTAAAACGTGTGTGTGTGTGTATATATATATATATTTATAATATTTAAAATACTAATGTGATTCAATCCCATTGGATTATTTGTTTACAAAGCCTTTAATTTTATTTAAAAAGAAAATGTAACATTTGATAGAAAAAAAAATGAAATAATTTTAAAATAAATAATGCATGTTAAAAACATACAACAGCAGTCTTAATTTACTAAAAATAGTAAATAAAAGAAAAATATTTTAATATTTAAATCCCCCATGCAATATTTGTTTACATAAAATTTCATCGTATGATTTCGAAATTTCTTTGACATTTTATGAAAAATAAATTTAAAAAAAAATACATATTACACATAACGTTTTTATAAAAAGTACAACAGCAGTTGTACTTTTATATTTTCAAGTGAATTTTCTCCAAATTTTGATGACATTCAGCATCTCAATATTTTTCCATTTGCTCTGATAAAGGTGGACTCTCTGAAAATGTTCCCAAATGTTCCGTCACAAAATAAAATTTATTTTAAAAATACATTTTAAAAGATAATCACGACTTTTTATCCCACTGTTGCCAGTTTATGTCTCACAATTCTGAATTTATATCTCACAATTTTGACTTAATATCTCACAATTGTTACTTTATATCTCATAATTCTAATTTAATATCTCACTGATTTTAAAAAGTTGCAGTTACCTTTGTTTATTATTTATTCTGTGGCGGATAAAAGCTTCCATAGAAAGTCAATGTTTTTAGACCACATTTAGTTTCTAAACATTAATGTTCAGTTTTCTACTGTAATATCAGATTATGTGTGTGTTTCATGCACCAGAATAAGCTTCTGAAAGGGCCTCTGAAACCTGATGAAGTGTGTGTGCCGGGCCGGATTAGGGGCGCATGTCCCACAGCGTGATTGATGAACCTCTGAAACACACAACTGAGAGAGAGAGAGAGAGAGAGAGAGTCACAACATGAGGAAGACATGAAGCTTTCTTCATAGCCAAACAACAGTTCCCTCGACTGAAGCCAGTGATTTATCTGAGACAGAAACAGGGTGCGG